CTGTCACGTATGAGCCGGCGTTCCCACAAAGATACAGCAGGCAAGTTCCAATACGCAATTACAGTTATCAAGAATGCTGATCAAGTAAAATGCGTTTTGAGCACTGTGAGTCAAGTTAGTGAGCGGGAGGGTTCGGATTGCAAAAAAGTTTTCTGCCTGTGATGGGCTGACACGCGATGCTCACAAACGTCATGGAGCATGAAGAAACAACTAGTCCGTCACGCGTTTTGAGTGACGTTACCGCTAAGCGCTTTGCGATCCGGATGGTATGGTGGATAGTGATTTTCTCATATAGAGCTCTTATATATTTTTATATTTTTATGTTTTCTACCTTGGGCGGAATGGTGTAGTGGCAAGTGGCGCACTTCACACACGCACGGGTTCCAGTCCCTGATCGATATCCGCCTAAGCCAACTAAGCCTTCCATCCCTGGAGGGTCGGTGAATTGGTACCAGGTTCGTCTGGGAGGGTAAAAGCACTGACTTGTACATCTACTGGCCACCGCATTGTGCAGGCCACATACGCATTCAATACGCCAGTACGGTCCAAAATTGAAGTCGAATGTGTGGGCGCATCCCCCAGTCAGGATTGATCTACTCCCCAAAACTTTATCCTTTATCCTTATATCTCTCTTATATCTTATCAAGTTCTCGGGTGCCGCCTAAACTGTAGAGAGCAAACTGTTGTTGTCATCGTCTCCTCATATTTGGAGCTCTGAGAAAGGATGTCAATCATGAAGCTATACATGATAAGGTTTGTGATAAGTTCCATTTTCAGTGCACCATCTCTTTCCGGCCGTTCAGCAGTGTCATCAAATTCTCTTTCACTCAGTCCTCGACGTGAATCCAATGGGTCTTGTTCATATATAGTTCAGAATCCACTATATCATGATTGATTTCCATGCTTTTTTTCATATATGATCTGATTTTCATTTTCTGAAAATTGTAAAAAAAAATGTCCAAATATACGCTGCTATACATATGTACACCGCTTTCAAGCAAGGTAATCGTCAATAAAATCTTGTCATCCACTGTGAGAGCATGCTCACTTTTGATCCTCTGTGTGTAAAAAGCTCAATGTACCAGCAGCTAGGTATATTAAGGTTTCGGTTTAAATACTGATGTGCAAGGTAGGTGACTGGGTATACTTCTCTAGATTCATTCAGATCACATATGATAACCGGAGGATTCCTCAAGGCTTCACCGAGAGGATTATGCTTTCCCTATTAAGAAGAAATTCTGTGAGCATCAAGTGGTGTTGATGGATTCCAGATCTACGGAGATCCTAACGAANTCCAAAGTTTCTCACGCTATGGCACTGATGAAACCATTGCCATCCCTGCGAGGCAACAACCTATCAGGTATCCATAGTCAGGTTAGGTTATCAACCGCTATCGGGAATAGTTGTCAACAACCACAGATTTCATATTTTAATTTTAAGATCGCTTCTGAGCAATGTTCCACATTGAAAGCACTTCCAGATAATCAAGAAGGCACGTTGGGTTTCCATTCACGATGGCCGCCCTGTGAGCCCGTTCACAGAAACTGTCACGTATGAGCCGGCGTTCCCACAAAGATACAGCAGGCAAGTTCCAATACGCAATTACAGTTATCAAGAATGCTGATCAAGTAAAATGCGTTTTGAGCACTGTGAGTCAAGTTAGTGAGCGGGAGGGTTCGGATTGCAAAAAAGTTTTCTGCCTGTGATGGGGTGACACGCGATGCCCACAAACGTCGTGGAGCATGAAGAAACAACTAGTCCGTCACGCGTTTTGAGTGACGATACCGCTAAGCGCTTTGCGATCCGGATGGTATGGTGGATAGTGATCTTCTCATATAGAGCTCTTATATATTTTTATATTTTTATGTTTTCTACCTTGAGAGGAATGGTGTAGTGGCAAGTGGCGCACTTCACACACGCACGGGTTCCAGTCCCTGATCGATATCCGCCTAAGCCAACTAAGCCTTCCATCCCTGGAGGGTCGGTGAATTGGTACCAGGTTC